ACACACACACACACACACACACACACACACACACACACACACACACACACACACACACACACACACACACACATAGTGGCGAGATGTCACAAGCGGAGTCCCACGGGGCTCTGAACTTGGACCAATCCTGTTTCTGATATATGTAAAAGATCTTCCAAAAGGTATAGACTCATTCCTCTCAATGTTTGCTGATGATGCAAAAATTATGAGAAGAATCAAAACAGATGAAGATGGATAGAGAGTATAGGGCGATTTGGACATACTGGGGGAATGGTCTAGAAAATGGCTATTAAAGGTCAACTCAGGAATGTGTAAAGTAATGAAATTAGGCGAAGGGAACAGAAAGATGAACACAATGTGCCGTCTGGGAGGTGAAATCCTGCAAGAGTAGGATTTTCATTGTCAGAGTAGTAGTACTTGTTCGCGTTCCACCAGTGTTGAATAGTTTATCCTTGTCAACCCTGTCAATACCCGTGAGGATTTTGTAGGTAGTGATCATGTCTCCCCTTACTCTTCTGTCTTTCAGTGTCGTAAGGTGCATCTCTCGCAGCCTTTCCTCATAACTCATGCCTCTTAGTTCTGGGACTAGTCTAGTGGCATACCTCTGAACCTTTTCCTGCTTCGTCTTGTGCTTGACAAGGTACGGGCTTCATGCTAGGGCCGCATACTCCAGGATTGGTCTTACATATGTGGTATATAAGATTCTGAATGATTCATTACACAGGTTCCTGAATGCTGTTCTGATGCTAGCCGGTCACGCATATGCCGCAGACGTAATTCTTTTTATGTGGGGTTCAGGAGACAGATTTGGTGTGATATCAACTCCTAGATCTTTCTCTTTGTCCGTTTCATGAAGTATTTCATCTCCCATTCTGTATCCTGTGCCTGGCCTTCTGTTTCCGCCGCCTAGTTTCATTACTTTGCATTTACTTGGGTTGAACTTGAGCAGCCATTTGTTGGACCATTCATTCAATCTGTCTAGGTCATCTTTTAGCCTCCTACTATCCTCCTGTTTCAGTCCTCCTCATAATTTTTGCGTCATCAGCAAACATTGAGAGAAACGAGTCTATGCCCTCCGAGAGATCATTTACATATATCAGAAACAATATAGGACCAAGGACTGACCCCTGCGGGACTCTACTTATGACGTCTCGCCAATCTCAGACCTCACCCCTCACAGTGACTCGTTGTCTTCTGTTGCTTAGGTACTCCCTTATCCAATGGAGTACCTTCCCTTTCACTCCTGCCTGCATCTCCAGCTTTTTCACTAGCCTCTTGTGTGGTACTGTATCAAAGGCTTTCTGGCAATCCAAAATTATGCAGTCTGCCCATCCCTCTCTTTCTTGCCTGCTTTTTGTTGCCTGGTCGTAGAATTCAATTAACCCTGTGAGGCAGGGCTTGCCATCCCTTAACCCATGTTGATGCTGTGTTACAAAGTTCCTTCGCTCCAGATCTTCCACTAGCTTTCTTCGCACAATCTTCTCCATCAGCTTTGCATGGTATGCAGGTTAGGGACACTGGCTTGTAGTTCAGTGCCTCCTGTCTATCCCCTTTCTTATATATCGGGACTACATTAGCTGCTTTCCAAATTTCTGGCAGTTCCCCTGTTGCCAGTGATTTGTTATACACTATGGAGAGTGTATAACAAATCTTAGTGTATAACTAAGAAGCACAGTGCTTCTTCTCCTTCCTTTAGTATCAAAGGGGAGATTCTATCTGGGCCTATAGCCTTTGTCACATCCAACTCTAGTAACAACTTCCTTACTTGCTCACTAGTAATCTCAAACTCTTCCAGTGGTTCGTGGTTAACAATTCCCTTTCATATCTCTGGAATTTCTCCTTGATCTAAGGTGAAGACCTCCTGGAATTTCTTATTCTGTTCCTCACACACCTACTTGTCGTTTGTAGTGAATCCTTCTCCCGCTATCCTTAATATCATTACCTGTTCCTTTACTGTTGTTTTTCTCCTGATGTGGCTGTGCAGCAATTTAGGTTGAGTCTTTGCCTTGCTTGCTATATCATTTTCGTATTGTCTTTCTGCCTCTCTTCTCATCCTGACATATTCATTCCTGGCACTCTGGTATCTTTCTCTGCTCTCAAGTGTCTTGTTATTCCTATAGTTTCTCCACACCCTTTTACTTTGCTGCTTTGCCTGCCTACATCTCTCATTAAACCATGGGTTTCTCATCTTCATTTCGTTGTCTTCATTTTCGACTGGGACAAACTTGTTTGCTGCCTCCTTGTATTTTTGCGTGACGTAGTTCATCATGTCTTGGGCCGTCTTTCCCCTGAGCTCTGTTTCCCACGTTATATCTGTTATGAATCTTCTTATCTCCTCATAGTTACCCTTACGGAATGCCAACCTTTTGTTTTCAGTTCCCCTCCTCAAGTTCAATAACCCTTCTTCAACCAGATACTCAAACACCAGTGTACTGTGGTCGCTCATTCCTACTGGGGCCTCAAAACCGAACTCCCTTATGTCGGAGTCGTTCAGAGTGAAGACTAGGTCGAGTCTCGCTGGTTCATCGTTTCCTCTCATCTTAGTGGGCTCCCTGACATGTTGGCATAGAAAGTTTCTTGTCGCCACCTCCATTAGTTTGGCTCTCCATGTATCCTCTCCTCCATGCGGTTCCTTGTTCTCCCAGTCTATCCGTCCATGATTGAAGTTCCTCATGATGAGCAGATGGGATCTATTTCTACAGGCAGCAGAGGCTGCCTTCTCAATTATAGTGTTAACTGTCGTGTTGTTGTTGTCATATTCTTGCCGTGGTCTTCTGTCATTTGGTGGAGGGTTGTATATCACTGCTACTACTACTTTAGGTCCTCCCATTGTCATGGTGCCTGTTACGTAGTCTCTGAATCCTTCGCAGCCCGGGATGACCATCTCCTTGAAACGCCATTCCCTTCCCTGTGTGTGTGTGTGTGTGTTTGTGTGTGTAATTACCTAAGTGTAATTACCTAAGTGTAGTTACAGGATGAGAGCTACGCTCGTGGTGTCCCGTCTTCCCAGCACTCTTTGTCATATAACTCTTTGAAACTACTGACGGTCTTGGCCTCCACCACCTTCTCACCTAACTTGTTCCAACCGTCTACCACTCTGTTTGCGAAAGTGAATTTTCTTATATTTCTTCGGCATCTGTGTTTAGCTAGTTTAAATCTATGACCTTTTGTTCTTAAAGTTCCAGGTCTCAGGAAATCTTCCCTATCGATTTTATCAATTCCTGTTACTATTTTGTATGTAGTGATCATATCACCTCTTTTTCTTCTGTCTTCTAGTTTTGGCATATTTAATGCCTCTAACATCTCCTCGTAGCTCTTGCCCTTCAGTTCTGGGAGCCACTTAGTAGCATATCTTTGCACCTTTTCCAGTTTGTTGATGTGCTTCTTAAGATATGGGCACCACACAACCGCTGCATATTCTAGCTTTGGCCTAACAAAAGTCGTAAACAATTTCTTTAGTATATCGCCATCCATGTATTTAAAAGCAATTCTGAAGTTAGAAAGCGTGGCATAGGCTCCTCGAACAATATTCTTTATGTGGTCCTCAGGTGATAGTTTTCTATCTAGAACCACCCCAAGATCTCTTTCTTTATCAGAATTTTTTAAAGATTTCTCACATAATATATAGGTTGTGTGAGGTCTATGTTCTCCTATTCCACATTTCATAACATGGCATTTATTAACATTAAATTCCATTTGCCAAGTGGTGCTCCATATACTTATTTTGTCCAGGTCTTCTTGAAGGGTATGACAATCATCTAAGTTTCTTATCCTTCCTATTATCTTAGCATCATCAGCAAACATGTTCATATAATTCTGTATACCAACTGGTAGATCATTTATGTAGACAATAAACATCACTGTGCAAGAACTGAACCCTGTGGTACTCCACTTGTGACATTTCTCCAGTCCGATACATTGCCTCTGATCACTGCCCTCATTTTTCTATCAATTAGAAAATTTTTCATCCATGTTAGAAGCTTACCTGACACCCCTCCAATAATTTCCAGTTTCCATAACAACCTCTTATGTGGAACTCTGTCGAAAGCCTTTTTTAGGTCCAGATAGATGCAGTCAACCCAACCATCTCTTTCCTGTAATATCTCTGTTGCTCGATCATAGAAACTGAGTAAATTTGATACACAGGATCTTCCGGATCGAAAACCATACTGTCTGTCTGATATTATATCATTTCTCTCCAGGTGTTCTACCCATTTAGTTTTTAATTATTTTTTTCCAATATTTTGACTATTACACTTGTCAATGATACCGGTCTATAAATAAGGGGGTCTTCCCTGCTTTCACTTTTGTAGATTGGAACTATGTTGGCCTTTTTCCACACATCAGCTACAACTGCTGTAAACAGGTGTGGGTGTGTGTGTGTGTGTGTGTGGAAAAAATCGGTTGATTGATTGACAGTTGAGAGGCGGGCCCAAAAAGCCAGAGCTCAACCCCTGCAAGCACAACTATGTGAATACAAACACTCTCTTACCAACACACAAGATGCCCATCTCTGCTTACATCCATCCATCTCTCTCTCTCAACATCCCCCCCCCCTCACACACACACACCAACCTGCTACACACACTCTCACACACTCTCCTTTCCCCCTCCAAATGCATATACACATACTCACTTCCTCTCACTGCTCCAATCTCTGACCCACTTAAGTGGAATAAGGTGGGAGAAGGATCGAGGAGCATCACCTCACACAGGGACGGGAAGAATGGTGGTATACTACCTGTGACTGGATCAACCAGGTATTAGGAAAATTTAGCAAATAACTGAGGAAAATTAATGCAATAATACAGATCCTCGGGAGTGAGCTGGGGCAAGCCAAGGAAGAGATAAGGAGACTCAGGGAAAATCCGAATTCGATCCAGTACGAGGCAAGCAACCTCCTGGAAACAGGGGATGAAGCTAATGAGGCGCTCCTTCCAGGGAGGTCTTGGTTTGCTGAAATGCTGCAAAACAATTAAAATGCCGTTGCTGCTTTGGAGGAAGCAGCTATGAAGGCAGCAACTTCCCATGGAGCAGCTATGATAGCAGCTACTTCCCAGGAAGCTGCAAAGTGCACTACACAAATACTGGAAAGAAAAATGTTGTTATAGTTGTAGGAGAGCAGGAACTGGAAGAATCCATTAAGGAGGAGTGGAGAAGGAAGGACCGAACAACTGTAACAAATATCTTGGAGGGTTTGGATATGATAGAGGCTAATGGGAACATAGAGAAAGTTTTCAGGATGGGCGGCTACAAGAAGGAAACGAAACGACCGATAAAGTTTGTGCTCATGAACAAGGTAACAAAAGAAGAAATCCTGTCCAGAAAGAGCAAACTTATGAAGCTAGAGGAATACAAGGATGGTTTCTGTAACGGGACATGACGAGGGAAGAGAGAAGGACGGCTGCAGTAGCAAGGATGAGACACAATGAGATGGGATAGGGATGGAGAAGCCACAGGATTCAGCTCAGTATCTCCAGTATCCTCAGAGGGAAGTGGTAATTCTCTCATCAGCAGGCCAGTATCCCCAGTGAGGAATGTAACAGCAGCCTTCCACCATCCCACCCTACGACCATTCTCCCCCAATCACCTGCACTTCCCCAAGCAGTAGAGACCCCCTGCAGACAATTCCTGCCCTGCTCCCAATCCCCTGGCCCCCCATGTTCCCCCCCATGCCCTCCTTCTTCCCCAACTACTTCCCCCACCCCAGGCCCACCTGTCCCCACACCTTATGCCTTTCCTTGTTTCTCCAGCCCATGCCCTTCCCAATTCCCCCACCCCAAGTTCAGGATCCTCGCCGACTCCCCCTCTCTCCCTCCTGGCCCCCACCCCAGGATCCACTTCATTCCCAAATGTCTGATTTCCCGCCTCTCATCACATGCACTCCCATGTTCCCCTATCCCATACTCTAAATGACCCCCAACTACCAGACTCTCTCAGCCACACCACCCAAGACCCTCCTAACTTCCCTGTTATATGTCCTCCCAGCTCCCTCACATCCCAGATCCCACAGATTCCCCTTCCTAGGCCCACCCATCCTGGACCCCGACCTGTTTTCCTACTCCAGTGAAATGAAAGGAAACTGAGGATGGACAGTAGAGAGTCATCTTCAGGGTAATGTACTCGAACATAGATGGGATTACAAACAAGGCAAGTGAACTTAGGGAAAGAGCACAAGAAGTGATCCCGGATATAATTGGACTCACGGAAACAGAACTCTCAGGAATCATAACAAATGTGCTGTTTCTCCGGGACTACACTATAATAAGGAAAGAGCGGGAGGGAATGGGAGGAGGCAGAGTGGCACTACTGATGAGAAAGGAATGGAGTTTCAAGGAGATAGTTATCCCAGGCTGCGAGGGGTTCAGAGACTACATAACAGGCACCATGACGATTGGAGGACCAAGAGTAGTAGTAGAAGTGATATATAACCCTCTACCAAATAACAGAAGATCCAGGCAAGAGTTTGACAGAAAAAAAAACATGGCAGTTAACACAATAACTGAAAGGGCAGCCTCTTCTGCTTGTAGAAATCAATTCCATCTGCTCATCTTAAGGGACTTCAATCATGGAAGGATATACTAGGAGAACCAGGAACCACATGGAGGTGAGGAAACATGGAGACTCAACCCAAATTGCTGCACAGCGACATCATGAGAAAGACAACAGTGAAGGAACAGGTAATGGAACTGCGGATAGGGGCAGACACTACACATGTCACTACAAACGACAAGGAAGTGTGCAAGGAATTCAATAAGAAATTCCAGCAGGTTTTCACATTAGAGCAAGAAGTTCCAGTGACATGAGAGGGAATATCTAGTCAGGCACCACTAGAGAAGTTTGTGATTACCAGTGGGAAGGTAAGAAAGCATTTGCTAGAGCTGGATGTGACAAAGACTATAGGCCCAGATGGACTCTCACCATGTATACTAAAGGAATGAGCAGAAGCACTGTGACTGCCTCTCTCCATAGTGTATAACTAATCACTGGTAACAGGTGAACTACCAAAAAATTCGAAGACGGCTAATGTAGTCCTGATATACAAGAAGGGTGACAAACAGGAGACAGGCCAGTGACCATAACTTGCATACCATGCAAGTTGATGGAGAAGATTGTGGGTAAAAAGTTAGTGCAGCATCTGGAGCGAAAGAACTTTGAAACACAACATCTCCATGGGTTCAGGGATGGCAAATCATGCCTCACAAGATTAAATGAATTCCATGGCCAGGCAACAAAAATCAGACAAGAAAGAGAAGGGAGGGGCAGACTGCATATTTTTGGATTGCCAGAAAGCCTTTGACAGGTACCACATAAGAGACTAGTACACTAGCTGGAGGTGCAGGCAGGAGTGACGCGCAAGGTCTTCCACTGGATAAGGGAGTACATAAGCACTAGAAGACAGCAAGTCACAGTGAGGGGTGAGGTCTCAGAGTGGCGAGGCGTCACCAGTGTTGTCCCACCGGGCTCAGTTCTTAGACATATACTTTTTCTGATTTATGTAAATGATCGTCCAGAGGAAATAGACTCGTTCCTCTCAATGTTTGCTGACAATCTAAAAATTACGAGGAGGATAAAGACAAAGGAAAACAGTATGATGCCTCAAATTGAAGGAATGGCCCAAGAAATGGCTACTAAAGTTCAACCCAAGTAAATGTTAGGTAATGAAACTAGGCGGAGGAAATAGGAGTCCATACACAGGATGCCGAATGGGAGATGAAGTCCTTCATGAAACGGGCAGAGAGAAAGCTCTAGGAGTTGATATCACGTCTAACCTATCTCTGGAAGTTCACATCAAAAGAATAACATCAGAGGCGAATGCCATGATAACTAACATCAGAACTGCCTTCAGAATCCTGTGTTAGGAATCCTTCAGAACCTTGTATACCACATATGTAAGACCAATCTTGGAGTATGCAGCCCCAGCATGGAGCCCGTACCTTGTCAAGCACAACACGAAGCTGGAAAAAGTTCAGAGGTATGCCACTAGCCTAGTCCCAGAACAGACAGGCATGAGTTACGAGGAAATTCTGCGTGAACTGCACCTCACGTCGCAGGAAGACAGGAGAGCTCGGGGAGATATGATCACCACATATAAAATTCTCAGGGGAAATGACAGGATAGACCAGGATGGATTATTTAACACGGGAGGTACATGCACAAGGAAGGACACAGGTGGGAAGACGAGTGCTGTATAGAGACTGAAGTTTGCTCGAAAGTCAGGGCAATGACGAGAGCGCAGGTCCATCAAGGTGCTCACAAAGTAAAGGAAGTACCTAAGCAAATTTTGGTTGTGGGAGAGTCCCAGGTGAGGTATTTGAATAGAGCTTTTTGTGCCAGAGATAGGGGAGAACAGGTTAAGGGTCTGCTATCCGGGAGCAGGTATTGGTGATATAGTAAACAACTCGAATGATATTATGGCTGGAAATAGGAACAACCCCACTATTTGTATCAGTGGTGGTGGAAATGATGTAGGACGAGTTAGGAGTCAGGCACTGATATGGAGGTTTAAGACATCTATAGAATTAGTTAGGAGCAAGGGGGAAATCCCGGTGATATGTGGCATTCTTCCAAGAAAGGGAGTTGGAAATGAATGGATGTTGAGGGCACTTGGTGTCAATTGCCAACTGGAGAAATATTGTAAATCAAATGCAATATTCTTCATTGATTACTGGGAAGACTTTTATGGAAAGAATGATATGAATGCTCGGGATGGGGTGCATTTATCCAGGGCTGGGGTTGTTGCTGTTGCCAACTCGTTGGAACCTGTGGTTGGAGGGGTTTGTTTGGTTTTAAACTGTTAAGAGATAGTTGTATGGGAATTGATACGGAGAAATGCAGTAATAAAAGTGTGTTGGTGGGGGGGAGGGGGGTGGCAAAATGAACAGGGAATCAGAAGGGCCTCAAAATAACAATACACTTAGGGTATATTACACGAACAGTAGGAGTCTAAGAAATAAAACAAACGATTTAAATGCTCTTGTTTGCACAGAAAAAATAGATATTATTGCACTTACCAAACCATGGATGAATGTAGAAAACAGAGAACTATTAGCTGAATTTCAAATAAATGGATTTAAACTATTTCACACAGATAGATATATTAGACGAGAAGGGGTGGAGTAACCATATATGTTAGGGAAAATTTTAAATGTAGTCTTAAAGAGGGAATCAAAACTGAACCACACACAGAAACTATTTGGATAGAATTAAACAAAAGAACAAATAATCTTATATCAGGAGTTATATACAGACCACCAAACTTAGACAGATTAAAAGCAAAGCATCAAATGGGATGAAATATTTAGAGCATCTAGGTCAAACAGTATTTGTGTCATGGGTGACTTTAATTTTAGTGGAATAAACTGGATTAACAGAACAGGGAATAATGAAGCAAAAAGATTTTCTAGAACTAATTGACGGTTGCTTTCTTAAGCAACACATTAAGGAAACAACTCGGGAAAATAATATTTTAGACTTAGTGTTAACTAACAGGGAAACACAAATTAATTACATCGAAATAGGGAGTGAGCTAGGGAACAGTGATCACAAAGTAATCAGATTTAGCATAGAATGAAATAGATTTGTAGGAGAAAATTCTGTTAAAGTGCCAGTTTTCCGAAAAACTGATTTTAATGGCCTAAGAACTTTTTGGGGTGAAATAGATTGGAAAGTCTTGGGCATGAGGGGTGGGCCGGTCTTGGAGCGAGACGTGAACCCATCGATGAGTGATGTAAAAAGGGATTTCGATGTGGATTTAAAATATAACTTATTTCAAAATAGTCTAAGAAAAGCACAGGAACGTAGTATACCATACAACTTAATTAGATTGAATAATAATGGACCGAAATGAATTGTCAGTTTCCATGGAGTGTTCACAACCACGTGAACTATGTGCGCGCGTGTACTTACCTAGTAGAGTGTTCGAACCTATGCACTGGATGTTCCCAGACGCGCTTTAGTCAACTGAACCACATTGGTGTCAATGCTTTTAACACCAAGGTCACACGAAGGATAGAAAAGCGGGATCCAAGAACCAATGTTCGATCTTGCAGGCACAAATTGGTGAGTACACACATACACATATACATGGGGGCCCTCGCAGCTGAGTGAACAGCGCTCAAGGGTCGTAGTCCGGATTGCTCGGGTTCGATTCCCGACGGAGGTGGAAACAAATAGGCACAGATTCTTTCACCCTGGTACCACTGTTCGCCTAGCAGTAAATAGGTACCTGGGAGTTAGACAGCTGCTACGGGCTGCTTCCTGGGGATGTGTGTGCATGTGTTACAGAGAAACATTCGTAGTAGATATTATAGAGGAAAAATAGATTGGTTAGAAGGTGGGGGTCCTAGAGCTAAATAGCTCGATTCTG